CTGAATCTCCTTTACAGCATGGAAACAGCCCAGGCCCAAGTCCCTCACTGTTGTGGCTCCTACAAGGCAGTGGTTCCCACCCACCCAGCACAGGAACAGTCAGTCCCTAAGAGTACCTCACAGAATACTTTCCATTTTATTCTTCACCTCTGACTACAGCTGAGATGAGAGTTTTTTTAAAAAATTGTTTATATTTTACGTATATGTGTGCTCTGCATGTATATCTGCATTGGTAGAAGTGGACATCAGATTCTATTATAGATGGTTGTGACCCAGAATGCGGTTGCTGGGAATTGAACTCAGGGCCTCTGGAAGAGTAGACAATGTTCTTAACCTCTGAGCCATCTCTCCAGCCCCTGAGATGAGAGCTTTTCATGCCATATACGAAAATCTTTAAGCACCTCGGTTCCCTAAGGGAAGTGAGTTTTCACACTTCGCTCTATCAGTCCTGAGCTCTTGGCATGCAGTCCCCATACATGCTAGGCAAGTGCTCTGCCACTGAGCTACACCGCCTGGCCCTCTTCATTTGCTCTAAAAACAGGCACATGACTTCATCAGTTCAAAGAGGAAAGGATGGGACAGCTGTGAAACTGATTTCCTCTGCTGTGTGCACAAGAGTGTTTCCTTAACATCATGTGACATTCTAATCAGCCTGTCTGCTGGCATTCCACACTCAATGGCCAGAATGACACCAATGCAAGAGCTTCTGCTATGTTATCGATTAACAGATATTCTGCGACGTTGTCAGTGTACACGACACATGACAGAACTCTGCGGTGAGCTGTGGGGAGGAGCACAGGGGGAGGGAGACTCCTTCCTCGCTTGTATTACAAGGAGTACAAGCCGCCATGTTCTCTCCCTGGAGTTTGAGGCCATGATAAAGAGGCTGGGGATCTGAGTACACCTGTAGTTTGGGCTCCCATGGAAGAGCTCACTGCTGCTGCCTGACATAGGAGGCCTGAGGCTACTTGATCACAAGCTCCCTCCCCCACACCCAAAAACAGGGCCTGGGAAATTCAGCATACTGTGCTTGCCTTGTGTCCCCTTTCATGTGATTGGCAGCCAACAGCTCATCAGGTAGCTATGAGGGTAACTGGGGTTTTTCCTTTTGCACTCTTGGCTTGTGAAAGAATCACATTCCTCTTGAGTTCAAGAGCACAATAGCATTACTCTCTCTTAGTTACTGTTCATCCTAACCATGAATAACACCACAAACAGCAGGTGGGGAAGCTTGCGAAAATTCCCAAACTGGACAATAACTTTTTTAAGGACACTTGCCAATTGCTTTAACAGTTTGTTTTAAAAGGCCTTTGCAAGGCAGCCGTCCTTTCTTTTCCTGTCCCAAATCTACCATCTTTCCTTGACCTGTGCCTGTCCTTTGCCCTTTAGTCTCCTTGAGTTTGCCTGTGTTGGTGGTACAGTGGTGAGCAGAGCTGCCTTCTATCCCATTCCCTTATGCTCTGTGAGAGACTAGGCTCGGTCAATAGCCTCTTTTCCTTGCATTGTCATGTTTTACTTCTTTGCCAAAGGCTTCAGGTCATGTGTGTTGAGATGTGGTTGTGGACCTCTTATTCTAAAAGCAACATCTCTGGACACTGACTCCACAGAGTCACCCTCCGACCTTTCCATGTGCGCCATGGTGTGATCACTCTCCCAGATCTCATTCTCTCTGCCTCCTGCTCCCTCAGTCTCTCTCAACAATTTTCTGTAACCTCTCTGAGCCTTTCCTGCCCCTTTGGATCCTGGCTCCCTGGGTTTTTTAGAGGCAGAGCTACAGGACGTCACAGAAACAGCCCACAGGATGCTTCTGGGCCCTTCCTGTTCTTCTTCTTTTTTTTTTTCCAGTTTAAATTTAGATAAGAAACAAGGTTGCTTCACAAGTCAGTTCCAGGTCCCTCTCCCTTTCCCTCCCCTCCTCCCGTGCCCTCTCCCCAACCCCCCCCCGTTATCCCCTCATTCCCCCAGGGAGGGTGAGGCCCTCTATGGGGGTGTCCATAGTCTGTCATTTCATATAGGGCAGGGCCTAGACCCTTCCCCAAGAGTTCAGGGTGAGAGTGCACCTCACATTGTTCTATGGGAGTCTAAAGTCCGTGTGTATACTTGGGATGGGCACTGATCTGCTGCCCAAGGCTCAATAGATTACCTAGGCCTCCTCACTGACACCCAGATTCAGGGGGTCTTGATCAGTCCCATGCTGGATTCCCAGGCTGATGTCTGGGATTCAAGAGTTAACCTTTGTCTGGTCAGCTGTTTCTGGGGGTTAAACCAGCCCAGTCTTAATCCCTTTGATCACCAGTCCTCCCTCTCTGTTACTGGCTTTCTTGAGTTCAGCTCAGTACTTAACCAAGGGAGTCTGCCTCTTCTTCGATCAGCCACTAAATGAAGTTTCTGTTTCCCAGACTCTCTGGCCATAGGACTTCCTGTTCTTCTTCATTTCTGCTTCTTGACTTTTCCTCCCAGCACAGCCCACGGAAGGCCCAGGATGCTCTTGCTGCCTCCATTTCCTCCTGTCAACATTCTCCTCTCAGCATGCCAGCTGATCTTTGTCAAGGTGGCTGCCGACCTTCAGGCTCCAAAGGCCATGTTCCTTGAACGCCTACTTAGGTTCACTTTCTCCACACTGCCCTGTGGTGGAGGTCTCTTTTAATCTTGAATGGGTCTTCTCAGGGCCCTGCATCTCTGCTCTAATTTCCCTGGCTTCATGGTGTCCTGCCATGGTATCCTAGACAGCCTCTTAGGTACTTGGAACCTGGCAATCTACTTAGTGTTTCACCAGAGTCTTCCTAATTACCCTACCCCACCACAAAATCCCCGTGCAGGAGACCCCAGCGTTCCCCCTCCTCACTCCAAGCCTGCACCTCATGCTCTCTATGCCCGCACCAGGGTATCTTCATGGTGATTTCCAGCATCCCAGGAAAGCAACACTTGCCCTTTCTCCCTCTTCCCAGCCTATTTCTATTTTCTGTGCAGAAATACAGACTCAATATCCACATGCAAAGATCACACCACACAAATAGTTCCATTTCTAAAATATATTCCAACCCAGGACCCTTCCATTGTCCCCATTGTCAGCACTCCACACCAAATCACCCCATCATCCCGTGCCCGGATAATTTCAGCCAGCTTCAACATGACCATCTGCCCTCAACTCTTGCCTCCTGCAATCCATTCTTCACGCCTAGCCTGCATCCTGCATAACACGCAACTCCACATAGCACCCTCCAAATTTTTGCATTCCAAAATATAAGTAGTTTGAATGTTTTTCAGGCACTATGACATAACGGTCTACGAAGAGTGCATATAAGAAATAGAAATTTCAAAAACAGTGTTATCTATTAATATAAAGCTCTTAGTCATATAAGTTTAGATCTTTTTAATAAATAAAACACTGCCATTTTACATGAGCACAGACATGCAAAACCACAGAGTGCTAGGATAGGAAAAAAAATTACAGAACAGCTCCTAAAAGAGTTTACCTCCGCATTGCATTTTAGCTGTATTTGCTGGTACCAAACCCTCTTTTGCCTAATGAATAACTAAATATGGCTTATGATAATAATTTTATGAAAATATATGCATATGTAGAAAATGGTTGCTCAAGTTTTTATTAACGTCTGTGAGATTTAACTCAAAAGTCATATTCGCAATGCCTGAGACGGCACAGGAGAGATCTGGGTTTCTGAATTTCAGATGGAAAGAATCCTCTGAGTGTTTATGAACAGAAAGGAAATGGTGCAGAACTGGGTGGTCAATCTTAACTTCTCATGTGCTAAAAATGACATTAGAAAGGAAATGTTTGGGAATCTATAAGGTCTCTTATAATGACTTTGGGAAAACATGACGGGACAGTCTACATCTGAGGCTGAATGAGAAGGCCACTCTTCATTTCAAACAAGACTGTAATCATACACGATACCCCCCAATGCATGAAATGCCACAGAGAACATAGCAGATGCCTTGCAGCTCCAGTTGGAACTAAGAGGCTTCCCAGTGTGGTAGAAGCATCAGCTCCAGTTGGAACTAGGAGGCTTCCCAGTGTGGTAGAAGCATCTGGCTCCTTTTCACCCACCTCGCCATCTCTTCATCCCATTCCCAGCTAGCCACAAGTAAAGACACAGTTCAGAACTGATGTGCCTTGTGCCAGATGCCAGATGTCTTGTACTTGTGGTGTCACTCTGAATGCCTTTTCAGAAATTGTACAGATAGTTCTGGCTATATTGGGATGCTTATGCTTATCAGAAGCAAAAAACAAAACAAAAACAAAAACAAAAACAAAACATACTGGAGGATGAAATATAAACTCTTTAAAAGGCCATTGTCAGCCAGGCATGGTGGCGTACACCTTTAATCCCAGCACTTGGGGGGCAGAGGCAGGTGGATCTCTGTGACTTTGTGGCCAGCCTGGTCTACAGAGTAAGTCGCAGGACATCAAGGGCTATGTAGTGAGACACTGTCTCAAAAATATTGTTACCCATTAACCTGATACAGAGCCCACAGGATGGCATTTTATTGGAGGGGCAGAGGGTAGGGGAGGGAGCAGCAGGTGCAATAGGCTTTTAAGCCAGGTCAGGGCAAGGCCTGTTGACACAGTGAAGTCTGCACTTGGAGGAGAAGTATCTGCAAACTACCTGCCAGGCAGTGAAAACTCTGAAATAGGGTACTGACAGGTTTATGTATGTACTCATGCATGTACACACGTACACACATACACCCACAAAGATGTTCCTTTGCTACAACTGGGACAAATGCTATTTTCTCAGAAACTTTGTACACAGTTTGATTCAAATCTGCTACATGAAACCACCAAGCACTGTTTTAAAGACGTGCAAATCCAACAAGAAACACCTTGTGCTGGTTGGTCTCACTCTGTGGCACAGGCAATACTGGCACAGGAATGGTGGGTAGGTTTTAGAGACTCCATGCTGCTTTCCAGTAAGCAACCTTGTTAGACATGGGTCCACCTCTCACTATGAAAAATGCTTGAGCAAAACTTTTCTTACCTGGGAATATTCGAAGTCAGTGATAGGGGCTATGCTCTTGATGTAATCGGACCGAAACTGGTTTTCAGGATTGGCCAGTGGGACTGGAGGTATTATAGTACTCATTGCTGAAACGATTGTCTAAAATAGATGGATGGAGAAAAATTGAGAGATATAACATACAAGGTTAATCAGAAATATATACTTTCTATTTACACAGTCTGAGCCTAGCCTACTCAACACTTCCAGGGAACAAACATTAGGGGAGGCCTTACCACAATAGCATCTTTGACATTTTTCCTGATGTCCAGAATTTTCTGCTTCTTTTCCCTGCATTGAAAAAGAATTGTTATTCATTTCATTCATGACAGAAGCCAATTAAGATTTTTTAAATGTCCAGTAAGTGCAGCATCAGGCAGACTAGGTTCACTAGAGGTCAGTATCAACCCCCTAGGCACTCGGCAAGCTTTTACCTCCTAAATGAAAACACTGCCCCCCCCAGTTTGTGCTCTAAACAAACTGAGTATTTCTGTTTTAAAACCTACAGCTTCAAGCAAATATCAAGTCCACATAATCACAATTATTATGGATATTGCACACAAATACAACTCTACCGTTATACCCAAACCTATCCCTTATAGTGACAGTTATAAACTGAAGTAGATGTAAGTGGGTTGTACTATAAAGGGTGTATTCCGGTATTGTTAGGCTTCATATAGGCGGTTCTTCGTTGGTAGATTCAACCAACTGATGATCAAAAATGTTTGGCAAACAAACAAATAAACAAACAATGAAACGAAACAAAAAACCCCAACTGTATCCACACTGAATGTGTACAGACATTTGTTTTCCTTGTGATTATTTCCTAAGCCATCCAACATGACACATTCAGAGCTTTTATTAACATGTTGCAATAGGTACTATGAATCATCCAGAGGAGATATGAAGTAAATCGAAAGATGTTCATAGATTTTCCCCAACTACTACACCATTTTGTGCAACAGATTCCTGTATGTTAGCTGCTCCAGAGCCCTCCCCTTCAGACACTAATGAATAAAGGATCAATATATTGGCTGAAGGTTCAGTGCCACACCAATGTTAGACACCAGTTCCCCCAAGAATCCTTAACAAATTGCATTTTGGCAAGTCGTTTACTTTTTAAATTAGATATCGCCAAAGAAGGGTTTGCCTAAATGGAGCAAATTCTATGCTAGATTTCTACCTCCCACCGGCCCCCTGCCCCAGTCCACAACGCTATCAAAAGAAATGCTTAGAGAAAGTACTTTTGAGAAAAGATGCGGCTGACATAACATTTAGAAAACAAATCCAAACTGGGTATCCTTACTCGGGGTTGAAGCCGTTGACATGCAGGATCCTCATCTGTTTGACGATGGTACTTTTCCCGGACTCACCAGCCCCTGCGAACAGAAAGGCAGTCAATCCTGTCCTCGTATTAGGTTATACCTGTCGCTTTTCTTACGTGGGGTCTTTCGAGTACACACCAGATGTGGCTCGCAGTAGTTTGCCCTGGTCAAGTTCCGGCGCCTGGTGGTGCACAGCCCTGTTAGTCTGTGCCGGGGGCAGTGAGCCCCGGACTGTGCACTCCAGGACGCTGGGAGCCACCCGGGACAGAGCGACCATGCACCCTGGCCTTACCCAGAAGCAGCAGGCGATGAGTCGCTTTGTAAGCCAGGCGCTCTTTCTGCAACTGCTTCTCGATCTTTTTGTTGGCCTCACGGCGTTCTTTTTCATCCACACCCTGATCTTCCGCTGTCTTGCTGCTGTTGCCCAAACACCCCATGCCTGCTGGCTCGCACTCCTGTTAGGCAAGTAGGAAGACGCACGAGAGCCAGCGAGAACCCTAGATGTGCGCTCCTGCTTCTCCACTCTTCGATGCTGAAAGAGACGGCCTGGTCTCGGGGGAATGTGCGATCGCACGGGCTTCTCCCTCTTCTGCCCACCGCTAGCTCCTGGCTAACCTAACGGCGGCGCCGGGAGGCAGGAGCGCCCAGGGAAACGATCCTTAAAGGCAGGTTGTCTTAGGAACCTGCGAGGGAAACAGCGCACAGTGCGGAGCCCCGGGCGCCGGGCTCTGCTGGAGACAGCCGGGTGGCACTGTGCCTGGGCTCCGCCTCCGCTTGGCTCAGCACCGCCCCATGGAGATGCCAAGGGGGACCGTATGTAACCGAAAAGCAAGGTTCTGCCTGTGTAGTGAGTAAGCGGGGCGCCGAGGGTCAGAGCTAGCACCAAAGGGTCCCTACAGGGCGACTGTAGCCACCTGCGAGGCTTGCTTATTTCAGTGTCTGATGTGAGTGCCCCCGAGGTACTGCTCCCCTGGAAGGAGTAGGAGTAGGAGTTGGCCTGGGGTCTCAAACGAGCGTTTCCCTAACCTAGTGATCAGAGAGGGCCAAGAGGTGCTTACACACTGGCCCTCGAGGCTTCCTTGTACCCCACATCTCAGTGTAGCTGGGCATGCGCTCCTCGGTCTCCTCCGATGCCCCCTTGCTCTCAGGAGAGCAGGGACTTGGGATCATGCATATTCTATCAGGGAGGAGGATCGCTAGGAGGCTCACCCCTCACATTGCTTTTGCTCCTTTTAGCTTCTAGACTGTTCCAGCTCGCCCCCGCTACCGCCTTTCCAGCCCATCTTTACCTCCAGCCCCCGTTTTTCCTCTGCAGTGCTGTCGAATAGTTCCACTGTTTTTCTAGAACACATGGTTTTGAATTTGACCTTAGAGCAGAGGAATGGATGAGGACAGGAGACTGGCACCTGTTGCTCCTTTATTGTGGCTAAAAATGAGAACCCTTAGCCCTACCTAACGTCTGCATTTTGTGTTCACGGTGCACGAGCGGGGGATGAGGAGGGCAGAGGGGTGACTGGGCTCAGGTATTGGATTCCAGCACAGAGACCTGGACGTGTAAAGGAGTCCTAGAGACCATGAGAAGTTGATGGTCCCCAACTGGGTGACAACTAGGTACTGAGGATGGAGTCCTCTATAAGCCTTTGCTCAGGGGTCTCCAGGCTCCACACTTTCCCCTGTTATCAGCAGGACCCGGCCTGTGTCCCCAAGAGCAGACACCAACTGTGTTACTTTATCCCACAGAGAGACCATGCCCTCTCAGAACAGAACTGACCCAGTAAATGTATTTTAAAGCCGTTTATTAGATAGGCTTACACGACATGGTTTGGGTAGTTTGACAATGGCAATCTGACAGCGAGAGGCCAAGAATCTGTTAGTGGCTCAATCCACGAGACTGGATATCTCGGCAGTGCCACTCAGGTGTGGAGACCGGGAGGATTCCCGGAGAGCTGCTGGTCTTCAGTTTGCTTTAGGAGATTGACAAAGCTTGTTCTAATAGTGAGGGAAAGCTTCAGGAACAGGATAAATGAGCTTGAGAAGTGAGATGCGAGAGTAAAGATGCCAGGCAAAACCCCACAGAGCTCCCCTCTCACCGCCCTCTTATCTGAGCTGCCTCCATGCTGCCCACATTTAGGGTGGGTCTCCACACTCGGAGCAATGTGATTCAGAAAGCCCCTCACAGGAGGCTTGCTATTTTAGTTGCGGTGGCTTTCCTCCTGCTGTTCTGGAACTCCCTTTGACTGTGGGTGCCTTGGGGACCACGTTGGGCACCTCTTACACCAGGACCTACTGTGGTGTCTGAGCCAGAGACTCACTGTGAGTATTTATTTGTTGAATGCAAGAAGAATTCACAAAAGCCAGAGACAATTCTTAGTCAGAGCATGGGTTGTTGTGACAGGAATTTCACGACCAACTTTTCAATTCATAAAACATTTCTCTAGTGTAGCACACCATATTGAAGAGAAGAATGCTTTTTATAAAAACCAAAAGCAACAACTTCTCTACATAGGTAGACAAAAACATATGGGGCCTCATTCCGTTTGACCTACATTGAAAGGTCTGGGTTTACAGATGACTGCTCAGCACAGTTACCACGTTTGTGAGTGTACTAACACAGGTATCAACCCAGGAGATCCCATAGCTATTGGGGCAGGCAGAAAGCGAGGGTGACATACAAGAGCACAGAATAGCGTTAGTAGATTTGTAAGGTTCTGTCAGTCTTAAAATGCCAAGACATCTGTAAGGTCTTAAAAGAGATGGGAACAAAACAGATGTCACAAATAGTTTTAAAGAGGGAATTATATTAGAAACCCCCAACACATATATTTAAGGTAATGTGACACTAGTTACTATAAAATATAGCAAAGATTATGGTTTGATCAGATATATAAGTTAGGGTTATAAAATTTAAGGACTGAATACACTGGTGTAATGAAAATGACACTGCACCCAGAAAGTCAGTAGATATAATGATAACACATGCATTGGAAAGGTAGCTCCTGTCTGTTGAGTGATGGCTGGTACTGGCCCAAGTTCTGTCTCTAGGGAAAAATTGTAATGTAAAACACAGGAATTATTACCACCATCATTTTAGGTGCTCAGAGTGGTGACTTCGAAGGGTGACTGACTGGCTCCTAATCTGCCTGATAATACTATTATGCCTGCTCCAGCACACTGTGCTAACTGGCAGACTCCATAGTCTAAACTGTGAAGGTTTCTGCTTTGTTCAGTGATTTCAGTTTAAACATGAAAAATGAGAAGCCAGTCTCAGCCTGTTAGGAGGCAGGAGTTCAATGACTTCTTTTTCCCTCCCTCCCTCCCTCCCTCCCTCCCTCCCTCCCTCCCTCCCTCCCTCCCTGTCTTTGGAACCAAGCACAGAGACTTGTGCATGCAAATGCTCTACAACTGAGTTATGACCTCAGCCCTCAAACTTCAAAAAATTTTAAATCCAGTAATCTGCCTTTTGCTCTTATAGCCTGGAAAATTGATCCTCATCTGTTTCCAAACTTTCAATCAGAATCCAGAATACTCATTGGCTCATCTGAAACCACAGAGCAGAACTGCAGGGTAACCCAGAATACTGCTTGACCGAAGCCAGGGCAAGGAAAGCGTCTGTTGCTAGGCAATCTGAACAAGGCAGCCAGCCCTAGGCAGGGCACGTATTCCAGCAGGGTCGGAGGGCAGCTCCGTGAGTCTTACCCAGCAGAGGGCACCAGCATGCGGGATCAGGGGAAAGAGCAAGAGATCGAGGCTCTGGAAACGGAGAGTGGCATTTGAGCGCCATAGACAAAGGTAATAGAGTGGGGTTTCCCTCACCACTGAAGACAAAGACAGGCAGAATGTTTCAAAGTCTGGCTCAAATCTCTTACATTTTAGTTTTGCAAATGTAAAGTAATGACTTCAAGTCTCAGTTTGCTTCAGTCCCTCTGACTGAGGATGGCAAAAGCTGAGAATGGCAGCTTCTCTCTGGCGAGCTAGAAATAAGCCTGGGATAGCAAGAAGGGACTGTACCTCCCATCATCAGACAGTTCCCTGAAAAGATCTAATTAACAAGTAGATTAAAAAACATCCAGGACAATTAGTGACAGCCCTGGATTCAGGGAACGAGAGCACATCTGAAGAAAGGGGTCCAGCGATGCATCGCGCAGGAGTTGTCAGGCACTAAATGCGAATGGAAACATTTAGCTTGCCGTTCTGTTGTCTTGATGCTTTTGACGCTGTTAAAGACTAAAGCTGCAGGAAGACCTTTGGTGTGGGTTCATCACATGTTCTAAAAGAACAGAGCAACTGTGAGAGCTGAGGAGTCTAACTCAGAGCAAGGGCAGTGCTTGGAGAAGCTCACAGCTTCAGCCAGAGAGCAGCTCACAGCTGAACCATGGGGAGCACAGGGTGTCACACGCAGGGATCCTTTGCACGACAAATTGCACAACTGCCTGTTGTTTTATCCTACCGCTTAGTGACTTGGTGGAAATAGGCTGTCATTCACTTTTAGCGGCCTAGATCACTGTATGACCTAATTATAATACACATAGAAAGTATTATGGTACATTTTAGCATTTTTTAAACAGAAAAGCAGAGAAATAGCTTCAAGTTTCCTTTTCTGTACGTACTCCGAGATCAAATATTTTAAAATTTATTGAAATGATGTGTCTCCTTTTTCTTTTCTTACTCCTACAATGAAGGTAATAAGAAGTATCTGCGAGAGGTGCCATCGACAAAGGATTAGGAACTGACAGTTTTAACACCAAAATAGCTGCACATCAGCAGGGAAAGGATGCTAAATGTCACGGACTCCTCTTTGTATCCAAACTGCAGGATTACAGTGCCCCTGTCAGAATAGTCACCACCGCATAGCATTTAATAACTGTGTATGGCATGAGGTAGGAGACTACCAGACACATTAAAAAAAGGAAACTAAAATGATACAACAAAATATCCCATGTGCCATAGAAGGGAATTCACAAGCAGAATGGAAATGTTAATGCTTTTAGTCCAAAAAATCCTGGGAAAGTCACCAAACTCACCTGGGCTCTGTCATGTCTGAGTATGTGACCTCT